CCTTCGGCGATTCACCAATCAGCGATTCCAGGAATTGCGTTTGCTTCGAATGGTGAATTCACCGGTTTTCGTATACCAGCACGGTTTCAAGGCGAACAAGAGGAGCATCACGGAGACAACAACAAACCGTCTTCTGCTTCATCTGATTCTCGCCATTAAACAAGATCCAAAAGGAACCAAAGATTGTGCAACACAAACGGTTTCTTTTCATATTCCAGGTTCGATCATTTCGAAAACACCAATATTTCAAGGCCTTGTGTTGTGCAATGTAACCATTAATCAAGTTGATATAACTAGCATTCTTGTTAACGTTTCAGGGCGTTTCGTGTTGTGTGTTTCGCATATAGAATGTCCTATAAATCCAAAAGAAAGAAGAGAAGGAGAAACAGAATCTGATTAAACAGTTTCAGGTTCTTCTTATCCTTCTATAGTTCAAGCCTTTGCTAATTTGAATTCATCTTGTATCAAGTAAACAACATTTTGTAACCTCAATTATGTTTCTATGATGTTTAAAGCTCTAGCTCGGCTGCGCGAGAGCTCACATCTTGTTTGTTGTATCCTGATTCTGAAGCATATTTGTTCTTCTTGTTTTAAATAAATTGTTATTCTCTTGTGCTCTTGTATTGGAAACCTTTAACCCCACTTGAAGCTAAAGTCTCAAGCTTTGCACTTTATTCCATGTGGGTTATAATGCTTTCCTCAAGAAATATCTCTTTCCTTTTGCCAAACCCAAAGAGGAACAGTGATCTCTCTATTTACATCCAATTGTTAGACATATTGTTACATCCAATTGTTAGACATTTGTTATAAGTTTTATAAACTTTCTTTTGAATGGCAAAGGGAATTTGGAACAATCATTGCTCTTGTGTTTCTTGATCTCTTCTTTTGTCCCCCCATAGATGAAGAGTCATTTTCTTTCCATGTAGCATGTGCTCTTCTTTTGGAATTTAGAATGATGGGTTTATAATACCAAAATGAAGGAGAAACATCTCATTTGTCTATATATTAGTTTATTTACAGTTATTTGTTCCGTTTTCCCAGTAAACTTTCCGGTTTGTTTCCCGTTAAACTTGTAGAGTATACTTTCGGAGTATCCGGCCTTGTAATTCGACTTAATTATCTACTATTATTCATACGGAAAAAAAGTGGTTGCTTGTTCCGAAAATTTCGTGTGAGTTTCGGTCCAAAATATACCGAGAAAAATTATTTGCAAGGATGTGACATTTTAGTTTTTTAAAGTAGCAAATTGAAGTAAAACATTTAATGAAAAAAGAGGAAAAGAGATATTGATGTCTAGTGTCAATAATGACTTCTTTTACTTAACACATATACGTTAAGAATGGTGTAGGATATTCACCAAACTTTGGGTGTGATGTAGTATTTAATGAGTAAAAAGAATGGGACATGAGATTAGTACATGAAGACACCCATGTTGGTCTAAATGAAGGAAAGTTGAAAAAAGGAGCAAGTCCCTTTCTTTTAAGATCAATAGTTGAAATTTTGTCAATTGCTACGCGATTTTGATCCAAAATTTGTCGACTACGAGTTGATTAAACTATCGGGTTAACAATGAAAATGCGTTTGATTTTTCACCATTATCTTTCGGAAGATGAATGACAACTTTGGTTTCTCATGTAGACTGAATCTATAAAGAAGCAACACTTAACATGTGATGTGATAAGATGATATGGAAGTAGTGGCTAGACATCCTAAAGTAGATTTATGCCCAAAAAAAGAAGATATAAAGCTTAATCTTTATCAAAGGTTTAAATTACTATATCTTTATATATGCAAATTCATAATGAAATTGGTTGTGTGTAAGATTAATGAGGTAAAATCTCTATTTTTTTGTGCCTTATTTTGAGAATTTTGTGATTTTAAAGGGGCATATGAAAGGGACTCAATAATAAAATGGATATGAGAGTATAAGAAAATGATGGAACCAAAATGGGTAAAAAGGTTGTCAGCTTTAGAGAATGGTCCCCTCTTTCTCTATCAGATCTCAAGGTTACAGCTATTTAAATTTTTTCTTCATTCCATTTTCCATAACCAATGATAATTTTTTGAAATTGAGAACTTTATCATAGTCGGAAAATGGCTCAAAAACTTGATTGTGTTCCTAGTGGCTTAAAAATTAAAACCCAATATTCAAAGTGTGCATCTTTCTACAAAGGAAAATAGGAAATAGCTTTTTCCATTATTAAAGTTACAATTTTGTCCAATATCCCTTATTGACACCATTACTGTTATAGATGTTTCTTCAGTACAATCGAATTATGGCGCGAATGTGTTTATTTTAACGAATTTTAATCCTCTGATAAAGCCATAATTTTTAAAAAAAAAAAACCAAAAAACTGATGATAATTTTAATTCGCGGTGATTTGACAATGTTAATTTTCTTAGTTTGTTGTTTTTCTTAACAAATTTTAATGCTCTCATAATGTCATAAATTCTTTAAAAACCCCAAAATATAATGATAATTTGAGTTTGCGGCGATTTGATGGAACTTTAATTTTATTAGGTTGTTTTTTTATGGAGTTTGGTTAGTTTACATCCCAAATAAAAAAGTGGAAGGTATATAAGATTGGCTCTAAAGTTAATAAATTAATAAACTGAAGCAAATTGCTCCCGGCGGGGCTCGAACCCGCGACCTTCGGCTCATAAGACCAACGCTCTAACCAACTGAGCTACGGGAGCCTTACACTAACATTCTATTATCATTAAAACAAGAAAACATTTTCTTGTGGTTGTTGTGAAAATAGTCAAATTTGTTCGAGTTTACGGAGAAATTTTCAAATTATTTAATTTTTCTGAAAAGTTGATATATATATATGTATATTGTTACATAAGTGATCTGCATAAATCAAATTAATTATATTTTATTTTAAGAGAAAGAAAGAAAGATTTTAGCTGATTATCTAATCTTGGAATCTATCTAGTTCTTTTGCAAAATAGTTTACAAGAGACGCAGTTTTTTTTTAAGTTTGCTAGTTTATTTGTATTAACAAAAAAAAAACGATAAGCAAACCAAATTCTTTTATTAAAAATGATTTTACTATTGTAGAAAGAGTATACTATAAGCCTGCATTAGGAGCATTCCCCTGACGAGAAAGCCGAACATTCTGAGGCACCCAATCCAACATCTGCTTGAAAAACAAAACAAAACAAAACTATAAGTGAGAAATGGAAACTACTTGTGGTTTTTGACTCAAAAATAGTTAGACAATGACAAAATGTATCGATATGATACAACAAGTCCACTTTGATTACCTTCCGTTGATGTGCTCTACTAGTGAAATTTTCAAAGCCTTGGCCAGGAGGAGCATACCAAGCACTTCCAGTAGGCAGATTCACCCTTTTCACTGCACTGCACTTATCCTCCTCAAGTGCTACTGAATCTGCCGGAATTAAGAAAGCTTTCAAGAGAAGGTTGTATCCTAGCGGTCGGTAGTCAGAAAGACCAGAGTCCGGATCGGATATCATCATAAAAATAAGTCCCGGAATGCTGTTAGAACCTGTTTCAGAAACTATAGACTTGACACACACTCTATTCAATAATACCCAAAACACGGATGCTATAGCCTCATGGTCTATCTCAATAGGCTCATTTTGTATTGCATCGAAGTACTCGAACAGTTTGAAAACCAACAAGTGAGAAAGGGATACTTGTGGTAAGAGCAAGTAACATGGGGGGGTTCAAAACAAAACAAAAATTTAGAAATCTAAACGTTACTCACCGCCATAGAATCAAGGGGAGGCAGAGGAGCCACGGGAAGCACATAATCACCGATGTTACAGCCCTCAGCTTCCTCCGGCGTAGCCATCTTCATCGTTGAAGAGTTTTGAAAACAGTAATCTACAACGGAAATCAAACATGAGCATCCGGAACACGGCCGTAATGAGAGATATAAGGAGCGAGAATGTACCTGAGAGATAAAGCAGGGTTAGGTTTGGATCTCCACATCGAACGAACTAGGGTTTCCAAATCTCTGATTCAAGCTAAACAAAATATCGTCCGTACCTTTTAGAACAAGGAACCAATTAGGTTTAATGACGTTGACTTTCAATGTCTTCGTGGCCCTAACATAAACCCAATTTTGGTACGTGAGAGTTGATACATTTTAATCTCTGATTGTAAAAGTGAAGTGAAAGAAGACTTATTATAGAAAATATCGTATTAATTAGCTTGTGTTTTCAAACACATCAAACTTACAAATCTCAGAAATGTATAACTTTTCTACACTCTTTGAATCCATATAACATAAACAGAAAATATCGAAACACGCCACTCATGTGAACAAACAAACCCTTTGGACGAGAAAGATCTCTATGACCAGCCAAACCAGTAATCAAGAATATAGACCAGTCCCAAAGAGAATGGGTAAAGCGCGTAAGCTATGAAACATGTCCAGAGAGGGTAAGTAGTGCGGAAGCTAGCGAAAGTGCCCATCACGAGACAAACGATGAGAATCACCAACACTTCTGATGAGAAGTTCCATGTTAGTCCTCGGACGTAGACGATTGCTAAGAACACCGAAAGACAGAGAATGTTGTTCATCGTTACTCCACCACATAGCTGCAAACAAAACCCAGAAACGGTTTCAGACTTTTTTTAGTTTAGGATGCATAATGAGACAGAAAGATATACAAATTGTGGTTACGGACCTCGGAGAAAGTTAATGAGGCGGTTCTGATCTTTTTGCGGGAGGCGAAGATAATGGCAGAGACGGCTTCGCTTGAATTGGTGGCTAAAGGCAAAGCGATGAAGGAAATGAAGAAAGACGGGATCCCTGTGGCTGTGGAGAAGTTGTTAACTGTGTCAACTAAAGGATCAGCAAATGCAGCTGCAATGGAAGCTCCTAACAGTAGCAGCAAAGCAGCTTTAGTGATGATCCATTTTGGGTTTCCATCATGTTCTCCTTCTTCCTCGTTCTCATTATTCTCGTTATCTCCCAACAGAGCGTGCTCTCTCTTTGTTTGCTGCGGAAAAACAAAGATTAATAGTAATGTCATTAGTTTAGAGAAGTTTTGTGATCCAACTACGCTTTCAAGAGTCTCTCTTACCACATGGAAAGTGTCAAGGAATTTCATTGTCCGAGGACCGGCATCAGGACCAGCTGGACCTGCACCTCCCATTGCCTGGATGAGCCAAAGTTTAATGCCACGGACAAACTCTTCTTGATCAACTTGCTCATCGAGAGTCTTATCAAAATCTTGGAGAACTTTTCCCACAGCATCATCCTTGTCAAAATCTATATCCTCAAAGCTGATCCCAATGATAAGCGCCTTTAGTTCAGCCGCTGATAAGTGTCCGTCCTTGTTTGCATCAATTGTCTCAAACAACCTAATAAACAGATAAACTTGAGCACGAGGAGAAACCGAGTAAAGTGCCTAAAAAGTATTTGCTCTCTTCTCACTGTAAGAAAGGCATGACTCACCTTCGAATGACATGTTCATCAGGCTGACCTTCATCATCAAGAAGCCTTCCCAAAGCATGTTGTTTCAAGTGCTTTAAGATTCCTGATATAACATGCTTGTGCTTGGCAAAAGCAAGCCGTCTCCTTTGAATCCACGGTTGGAAGACCTAGATATCATCATACAATGAAGAATAATCTCACAAACAAGATATAGAACGCAAAAGAAAAGAGAGACATCAGTCCAGCTGCCACTTTCCGGGAACTTGAGAATATCATGTTATACCTGATATACACAGTACGCGATCAACATTGAAATCGAGAGGATCAGAGCAACCAACACGGAAAAGTGTCTTCCAGATTGTGAATCAAACATCTGCGGAAGCTGGACAATGACAAACGGAATAACCGATATCGCCATTATTCTTGCAGCATAGCTGGTCCAAACATCAACAGTAACACCAGAATCTACAAGATACAGAAGTAAACAACACTAAGCAAAAATACTAATTTCATTTCACGTTCTGTAATGTTCATAGACAAAAACCAAACATTCCTCAAAGTATAAGACACTTTTCTCGTTACCTTTAAGATGGAAACCTTTAGTGTCTTGGTTGTTTACAGCAATCGTATCTCGAAGATCACACTTGCCAACAACTGTACAAGTTCCCCAAATTACAGTGAGAAGCATAACAGTCGAGCCAGCGAGTAATCCCATTCCCACAGATACTTGGCTTTGAGCTTCTGATGCATCTCCAGATAGTCCAGACACTGAAACCAAAATGATACTGTTTTAACCAAAATCAAGAACAAACAAAGCAGAAACTTCACAAAACAAAAAGATAAAAAATTTGACTAAACAAAAGCAGAAAGTGACAAGTTATGTGTTCATAGATTCACCATCAAAGTATCATCAAATTATGTGTTCATAGATCACCATCAAAGTATCATCATCATCACTCACTATTTGATTCCCAGAACCTAACAAAGATTCACTTTTTTCTCTCTCTCTCTCAAAACTCAAACAGTAACCACAAAGAATCTGCCTTTCGAGATCTAAAAATTCGAAATTTCGAAATTTGAAAAGCATTTTTGACATACCCATAATAAGCATAGCATCAGGAAGTGCTCCAAGCATCGGAAGAAACAAACCACCGACGATTCCAGGACCAAGGATCTCAAGTAAAAGCTCACTTCCGGCGGATAGATACGTTGCCGCCGTGAACATAAGAAACCCATAAACCAGAATCAAAAACACGTTCCCTAACGCAGTCTTAGTACACGGCATAAACCCATACGTCTGTTCACAAGCTTCTTCTACCTCCGACGAAGAAACCACCGACTTGATAATCGATCCGGTGGTACCGCGATTTCCACCACCGTCGATTCCATCGGAGATAAGACCAGAACCAGTCGTAGATACGGATACGAATCGAGCGT